ATTTTGGTACTGTCCTTGGTTTAATTCCTGGGTTGATATTTCAAAATTGCTTAATGCAGGTATCTTTGTTGCTTGTGTTTAAAACCCTTGTGGAAATATTTCATATAATTTTAAAAGTCTGATGAGGTCATACACTTTTATGCTCCAAAAGCAAAATCCATAAAAGATTGTACCTTCTCCTCCTACCTGGCTCTTCCCTCAAAGTCAACTGCTCTCCTTAGGTTTTTACATAGCCTTCCAGAATTCCATGATGTAAATAAATTATTTTCTTCTCCTTTTAAACTAATACATTATTATCCAAATTACTACATAAAAGAGCCCATTTACTGTATATTTTCCATGACAGAGATTTTTTTTCCTTCTCTGCTGACAAAGCCCCTCTGGGACGGCTGCTCCCTGTCCAGCATCCTCGAGTTCAGAGGGACTGGGAACAGTGCGGCCCCACAGTCTCAGCACAAGGCTATGAGGGTGATGTGAGGGGCTATCTCCAGGTGCCCCTTAAATAGCTGTGGTCATTCCCAAGGGCGGAAGAGCCCCTGCTTCGAGTCCCCCCGTTCGATACACCTCAGGAATCCCGTGGCAGTAGCCAGAGGAAGCCGGAGCCAAACTCTCCCCAGAAAGGCAGGGAGGGAACCAGGCCTTGGGAAGGTGCGCAGTTAGATCTGACTGCTTGAGTGGAACCTGCACCACTGCCGGAAAAATCACCACAAACCTACTCCTTCTCTTGACCCTGGACCCGGGCCCTCGGGAAGGCCCATCCCAGGATTTAGTTCATCCTCGGACTCAGGGTCAGTCCAGGAGGCTGCAAGGGCATAAGTGCCAGCAAAGCGATGCCCAGCTACCTAGAGCTCACTCTCTGAGGGGAAGGACACTTACCGGCTAGGGCACTGTACCAGTGCTGCAGAGTAAACTACACCTCCGATGAACAGTGATTGGACAAAAGGCAACATGCCCAGCAAGGGACGCCAAGGCCACACAGACGCCTCCTCCCTGAGGTGGGTCTACCTGGTGGGAGTCAGGCTTGAGTGTCAGGCTCCCACCCAGCAGGGCCCTGGAAGGCCTTAGGCCTAACGTGCACTGACCGCTCACCCTGGATCCCTTTTGTGAAGAGCCCTTCACAGCACCCCATAGGCCTGGAACTGACCCTGTATATCACCGCAGCCAATTGTCAGTTATCTGTGAACTGATCATTAAAATTTCAGTTTACTCAGGAGCAAATCATGCTCTCAGAAGCAGATCAACTAGTTCTTAGCTGTCCCTGCTTCTTTCGTTTTAGTACTTATCTTTCACTCAGCTTGCAAGGCAAGACTTTCTGTGGAATGCCTGGCCTGTCCCTCTAGGAGCACTGACTATGGAGGGTGGTGGAGGGGCTGCCTGCCTGCCCTCTACCATCTCTGCCCGTGTGGCTAAGAACTCGGGCATCTGGTGACAGAGGAGCCCCCCTCCAAGTGCTCAGGGCATGCATGGACTAGAAGAGGCTCCGCCAGGAAATGCAGTGCCTCCTGAGCCTTCCTGGGAGAAAGCAGAATAAATATTTCAAAGCCACACATGAAAGATGCCAGGCTCAATTGTAGTACTTCTGGCTCTGTTAAAGATGGTAAATGAAGATGGACAATACTTCCATTTTTGAATTTAACTAGAATTCTAAAGGTTGTCAGTTTGGTCATCACATATTTTTTTCTGGGGATTTTAGAAATCTTTTTTGTTTGTTTTTAAGTCACCCCCTTTTCCAGGCCAATAAAGCAGTGTTAGTTTAATACCAGAGGTTGATTCTGCTTTCCTGAAATCAATCTAAGAGCAGCAATGAGATGTGGCTAGGATTTTTTTCCAGTCACTGTGCATGCGACAGAATAAAAAGATGTTTGAGAAATTAATACAGTATTTACCTCCTGGAGATTACTTTGTATCCTTTTGAAGATTATCTTTAATTTTACAAAAGCAGAAAAAGAAAGACTAAAAATGTGCAATAAAGATGTTTACTCAATAAAGGACTCTATTATTCATTTATTATTAATATATCTTAATGAGATAAGAGATACGAGATAAGAAGAATTTTTACCGACCAAATAATATTTGGGGAGCTTAAACTTTGTTATTGTTTTGGATTTCTATAGGAAAGTTTGGGTTTTCTTTTTCAGGTAGGATGTGATCAGGTTTGGAAATTTGTTTGTTTGGGTGGGCAGAGGGTGGAAGCTGGGCCTCACCTGTGCTGGGCAGGTGCTCTGCCACTGAGCTAAATCCCCGGCCCCTCCAAACTTTTCAGAAGCAACTTTTCTTTGAAAGGCCACAGGGAGGGGCTGGGCAAAGGCAGATTGGTTTGTAACTTCTTTTTATATTTCACATTTAGAAACTGACTTTTAAAAATTTCATTTTCATTGACATACGTTCTTACATTTCTCATCTTTGTTAACTTTAAATTATTCACCTCAATCATTCATGGCCTGCTTTGGATTTTATTCTTTGGTTTTCACATTGGACAGCCCTGAAAAGAATTTACATATACAGAAAAACTGTAAGTAGATCTACAACTGCCAAAGGTAGATTGGTATCACAGGCGAATTTTTAAAACCTTACCACCTGCTCTTGAGAACTTTGCCCAGGGAAATGGGTTCATCATGTAAGCTCCTCCATTATAATGTGCTGGTCAGGTGCCGACAACATTAGAAACAGTGAAAAGGGAGACAGGGGCAGGTGCTCTGAGGGCAACGCGACACTTACATAGCGTGTGCACGGTGACAACAGGGTGGGTTATTTACCCGACATCCAGAGATCAGAAAACAGCGTTAAGATGCCCGTGTCAGTGAATAAAATGGAAACGTCTTTTTAAACGAGCTCGGGACATTAGATAGGGAGGTTCTGAGTGGGCGCCCAGAGGCACTGACAACTGCACTGAGATGTGCATCGGACAGAGAACAGTGAGCGCACACGGCCCAGGGTCCCACGTCCCGTGCTGTCTGCCCTCCATTTCCCTCCCGTGTTTCCCGCCAGAAAAAACTCTGAAGTTAGCGCGTGTGAGGGTAGGGATGGGAGCCCTGTGGCTTTACGTATTTCTTAAGAGGCAGAGGCCTCTGCTCACCAAACTGTACTGTATTATAAAGTTCACCGATGGAAGCAGAACTTTATTAAATAGTGGTCATACACATATTTTGTATGCAATTATGTCGACTAAAATATAACACTTTATATAAAAGACTCACGATAAGATTAGTCCTATAGTGTATCGTTTGTATGCAAGACCCGTTTCCTTCCCATCTGTAAACATTCACCCCGGTACCCTTTCTTCACTCTCGAAAACCTTGACAAACTCTTAGCTGCCTTCCCTGACCCTTGCATCTTAAAGTTCACTATGTTTCTGCTGGAGGCAAACTGAACTTTCCGTACCAGTCTCAGTCTTCCTGAGAATCACGTACCATGTGACGCGGGGCTCTGGCCAGCCTGCCACGGAGCAGTGCAGTTTCACGCTCTCCTTCTCCCACACCGTGTGGGAGCGAGGTTTAATGATGAACTCCGGAGCGTGGAGAAGATGGTCCTCATTCAACTTTCCATGATATGCCTGGGTTTCTTCTAACTGAAACGAACAAACATATCACCAAAAGATCACTACGTCAAAGTAACTTCCGATGCTAAAATAACATGTAGAAGCAAAATTTTTTGTTCTTCCATCTGGTTATTTTTGCATTTACATAAAATGCATTCCCCCCTCTTTAAAAACAGATGTACTTATTTAACATTTAACATTCTAAGCTTGGGCAAAGTTTCTAAAGTGGATTTCTTAAGGTTTTTTATGGGAACCTTAATTTCTTTAAAATCTGGAATTTCATGAGGTTTAAAACTTAAGTTTAAAACTTTCTTTAGCCTGCATAGTTTGATGTCTCTTTCCTTTTCTTCAGTTTTGTCATTCCATAAGCCACTTATCTCTTCATCTGAAACCAATCAATCTGTATTTATACACACACACACACACACACACATGCACACAAGCACTCATGCACGTGCATGCGTTAACTTGTTACATGCATTTCCACTTTTGTGAGTAGCATTAAACTGTCTGTTCTTACTGTTTTTCTCAGGGACAGGAGGTCTGCCTTTTCTCGAATGGTGGCTTCCCTTGACTTTTCAAATGTTTCCTCCTGCTCCAAGGTAGATGTGGCCTGTTTGGACACGGCAGACCGTTTGGATCTTGTGAGTTGTTTGGACGTCCTGATCTCTTCCTCACTAGCAAGGAGATTTCTCTGGGCTATATAAGCAGCCGCCTCTTTAATTCTCTCTTCTTCTGTGTCTGTAATTCCACTGACGTGCACTTGCCTAAAACACAGTAATAGCAAAACATGAAACTTGTGGATTGCCTAATTTTACGAAGTTACCAGACCTCAGACCCTGTCCTGTGCCCAGAGAAAACCTGACATTAAAAACAACTGGTAGTTGCGTGTGTAATCCTAGCACTATTGAGGCTGAGGCAGGAGGATCCCTGCAAGTTCAAGGCCAACCTGGACTACATAGCAAGACCCCATCTCAAAACACTAAAAACTAAAAAACCAAACTGGTAAATCAGAAGTTGCCTCCTCATTAGTGGAAATGGTCTTCCTCTCAACAAATAATGGTAATGATGGGCCTGGGACTTAGCTCAGTGGTTCTGCCACCTACCTCGAAAGTGAAAGGTCCCGAGTTCGATCCCCCGGACCAAATACATAAATAAATGATGTTAATGCTGGTCCTGATTCTGGTGCTTTACCCATACATTATCGCATTCCATCCACTCAAAGTAAACATCATTTCAAATTAGACAGTTGGCAACAAGGCTCAGGGAAGTTAGATAACTCATCTAAGGCCGGTACCCAATACCCCGGTTACCCCAGTTATTTAAGTATGGTTTGGTTTACAATGAAACACAAAGCTATGACTTCCCTTCTAGAAAAGACAACACTGTAAAAGGGACACAGCTCGTGTGCCTGTGACCCTGATACAGGACTAAGTGTCTGATCTGGATCTGTAACTTGGCTGATGCAATGCATTTCCCAAAGCTACTGTATGATAAATATATTCTAAATTCATATAAGAGCCTATGGCTGGGCGTGGTGGTGCACGCCTGTAGTCCCAGCATTGGGGGGCTGAGACAGGAGGATTATTGTGAATTCAAGGCCAGCCTGAACTACATAGTGAGACCCAGTCTCAAAGGAAAAAAAAGAAGAGCCTTATGCCTATTGGGTTTCTTTCTAGGACAGTAAAGGTTGTGAGTGTGTGTTTTCAAAATGACAATCTTCATTTATGCTCACAGCAACATCCAAAAGTGCTATGCCTAGTATGGGAGTTTATGACAGAATTTATGCAGGGATTTATTAATGTTAAAAATGTTCTGATTATTTTTAGCCACCTTTAATCCCTTTGTTATAAATTCCATTGCATGTTTTAATGAGAAAGTGTATTGATTATGTTGAAAAGTCTCTTGAAACTGTTGTGTAGGCTAAACTGATGTGCTGTTTGTTTATTTACTTATTTACTTACTTACCACTGGGGCTTGAATCCAGAGCCTTGTACCTGACAAAGCACACATTCTACCACTGAGCTACACTCCTAACCCCTTAAATGTTTCCTTTTCATACAAAGTGAGAGACAGGCAAAAGACAGAACACTCTCCTCCTCTAGCCTCGCCACCTGCTGCCGAATTAGATGGACATTGCAGCACCTCGAGGGGCTGGTTCTGAGCGTGCATCCCAGGCACCTGCAGGTGCTTCTCTGACAGTTTGTGTTACGGACTGGGGGGCAGCAAATAAAGAGCTAACCCCAATGTTGTTTAATCCCCAGCCTTTTTATGTGGGCATAGGGCAACTGTGACTTAGGTCTCTGAAACGTCAGAAAGGAACCGCCAGGGCAGCAGAAAGAGGTCGGTAACATCACATCCCTTCCTGGTCTCAGCGAGGATCTACTTTCCATGCCACTGGCTCTGGAGGGCGGTGTTTCGAGCACTACCCTGTGTCAGGAGTAACCCTCTGTCCCCGGACAGGAGCCCGGAGGCCGGGGGACCCCGCCTGGCTCTTCCGGTGTCCCAGACATGTTTCCTCTCAAGCCTCCTTCCAAAGCTGTCACCGCTGGAAAGTGCGTATATGATAGAGACAGAGAACTGGCGGGACACAGTCTTCTGATATAATTTGAAGTTTATCTAGAAATAGATTAACAATCAAGTTTCTACTGAATGGATAAAAGCAAGTAATTCAAATTATGGTTTTATTTACTCCCAGTGAATAATGAACCAAGATATTTTTCATCTAACTAAACATAGCATCTGGAGTTCTATTCTTTTCAGTTCGTTCAACATTTTACCTTTTTTTTTTTTGTACTGAGAATTGAGCTCAGGGCCTTTGCACTGAGCTACATCCTTTTTAAAGATTTTATTTTGAGACAGGGTCTCACTAAGTTGTTAAGTTACCCAGGCTTGGCTTGAACTTGTGATCCTCCTGCCACTGGGATCACAGACATTTTATTCCTTTGAACCTCTCCTTATAACAGTTTTCAATCAAGGATCCCAGTCCATTCCAACTAGTCTCATAAGTGACATTGTGCTCCAATTGTTCTCTTCTGCCCTTATATACTTCTTCTGTGGTGGCAAAGATTTCTGAAAAGGAAACCCTTGTTTACAATGAGCACAGCTTTCTAGTGCAGGGCTGCAAGCTTCCTAAGAGCTTCCTCAACCCGTATATGATGAGTGCTCAGATTACTACTATCTGACCTCATGCACCCGCCGACCTCTAACAGTCAAAGCAGAACGAGAAAGCGCACGCACCGCCCAGAATAAATAGGCACCATGTAGTTTCCTGGCAGATTTTCCTTCTCCTCTCCGGATTGAAGACTGTGCTTTGCTCTCTTTGTTTTGGGGCTCAAGCTGGATGAATAATCTTCTAGCAGCAAACTGGAGCCGGTAAGCCTGAAATAAAACCCATGTTAGACAATAACAAAATGTGCATGTAAGATATTCAAAAGACTGATCAAAGAAAGTTTATACCGGGGAGTTTTCCCAGAATCTTAGATCTCTAATATTATTACCTTTTATCTTTGCAAGTGGAACTGAGTTAGAAAGATCTCAAATACATAAACGCATTCTTAGATGCAAATCAAAACAGAAAACGAGTAATCTCATGACCTTTACCACCCTTAATGTTTCAAGGGAAAAAAGCAATGCTTTTTATATTTTCAAGTAGCCTTTATTATTAAGTTAGTGTTTGATATTTAGGCAGTCTGTCATACATGGTTTTAATACATCTTGCATCCAAATCTTTTCAGAGGGTTGTGAATAAGGCCCACATTTTGGAAAAGGGACCAGCGTTTCACACTGTGGGTCTTGGAAGGTCCGTGCTTACTGCAAGCATATTCCTGCGTGTGAAGGACCCCAGACTCACTGCACAGTAGAGCTAAAGTATGATTGAACCCCGGCTCAGAGGGTGCAGGGGTGAGCTCCAGAGCCCCTGGCCAGTGTGTGCATACAGCTGCCAATGCTCTGCCAGGGAGCCAGTGCACTAAGCCAGAAGCTATTATGACAGCAAGATCGCAGAGCAGAAGGACTCATGAAACCAGAGGGAGACTCTTGACCTGCATGGTTCTTGAAGGAGATGCATTTTCATACGAACGTCACGCTTGGCTTGGGGACCCCTGCAATCAATCTGTGACTCAAGGCAAAAGCCCGAGGTGCCCACGGCAATGATGGGTGAGAACAACAGGCATCCACATGGAAACTCTGTCCTATCCTGGTGACTTTTTTTTTTTCTGGTACTGGGGATCGAACTCAGGACCTTGAGCTTTCGAGGCAGGTGGTGGAACCACTGAGCTAAATCCCCAGCAAGAAACATTAATGTGAAGGGAAACCCCTGGTCTGGAGAATCCTCGAGGAGAAGGCGAAGCCGGTGAGCAGTGTGGCAGGGGAAAAACCAAGCTGCCCAGTTGACACAAACCATTCAAACCTTGACCCTGCTCTGATCTCTGAAATGATTTGGAAAAGCAAAAGGGATCACTGAAGTCAAACGAAGACAGAGCGCAAAGCAGACAGTGATGCAAGAAAACCAGCAGCGCTGTGTAGAACCAGAAGGGCCCTGGACTGGGAGTGTGGCAGCCTCCTGCCTAGGATCCTTCAGAATGACCACACAGGAATGGAAGGTTTCCCCCGCACTGCCTTACCCCAACCCGGGGGAGTGCTGGTTCTTTTTCTGGGATCAGCAGTAAAACTAAAAGACCTGAAGTGAGGCTTGTGGTTTGGTTACCAGTTGGAAGCCAGTGTGAAATTTGTCCCTGGCCGCAGCTCCAGGCAGCAGCAATGACTGTATTCTTTGGCCCAGCAGGTCACAGGGTACAGGCTGTGCTCAGGCAGGGCTAAGTTTAAAGTGGACTTTCCCTCCACCCCTGTATGCCATTCCTGGACAAACACAATTCATTACGGACTTCGGTGTTCCACTGCCTTCTCTGTTTCTAGAACAGTTGCATTATATATACAGGTACATGAAATACTTGTCATAATGCACTGTTGGGTCTATGAATGCACAGTTGTAAAATATGATAATAATACAAAGGAGGGGACAGGAAATGGAGCTATCTTATAGCAAAGTTTCTGTGTCTTACTAGTATTAAGTTAGTATAAATATGAAGTAGATGGTGATAGGTTAATGTGTACTTTGTAATTTCTAAAGCCATTACTACAAAAATAACTTAAAGAATACAGCAAGAAATAAAGGAATTAAATATGATACACTAAAAAATTCTATTTGTACAAAGTAGGACAGTAAAAGAAGAACAAAGGAAAAAGATATGATAAGATATACTTAAAAAAATCAAGTGGCAGACATAAATCCAACATATCAATAATTTTATTAAATGTGAATGAAATGAAAACCCCAAGGAATAGGAAGCAAATGTCAGATTAGAAGGAAAAAATTCCAATTACTCCAATTCATGTTGCCACAAGAGCCACGTTCTAATTTTTAAGATACACATATGTAACGTAGAAGAATGAAAAAGGTTATGCAAACAGGAGTCATAAAGAACTGGAGAAGCTATATTTATATCAAGCAAAGTACAGTGTAAATCCAGAAGTAATAGAGACAATTAGGGACATTTCATAATGACAAAAGGGTCAATCCCTTAGAAAAACATAACAATTAAAAATGTGCATGTACATAACAGAGCCCCAAAGCACATAAAGAAATGATAGAATTGAAAAAAGAAACCTGAAAAATAATACTCAGAGGCTTCAGTACTCCACTGTCAACCCATGATGGGACAACTAGACAAAAAGCAAGTAAAGACACAGAATACTTGAATAACTACTTATCACCTTGACCTAACTGACTTGTTCTTTTCAACATTCTCAAGGAGATCATATGTGTTACTCCACAAAACACTCTCAATCAATTGAAGAAGATTGAAATCACAGGTAATATCTTCCCTGGCAACAAGAACCTACAACAGAAAGAAATTTGGAAAAATCTTCAAACATCAAGAAATGAACAATATATTTCTAAATATGCTAGTGTTCAAAAAATAAGTGAGAATGGGAATTAGAAAATATTTTATGTGAAAATAAGAATACAACATATTAAAATTTATAGGATATAGGTGAAGCACTGCTTACAGGTAAGTTTATCGCTTAAGTGTCTGTGTTAGGAAAAAAGATCTCACATTAGAAACCAAAGATTTTAAGAAGATAGAAAAAATAGCGGGGCATGGTGGTGTATCCCTGTAATCCCAGCACTTGTGAGGCTAAGGCACGAGGATTGCCATGAGTTCAAGGCTAGCTGGTAGTGAGTTCAAAGCAGCCTAGACTATACACCAAGACCCTGTCTCAAACAAACGAACAAATAATAACAAAGATAGAAAAAAGATTGACCCTTTGGAGGTTGGGGTTTATCTGAGAGATACAAACAAACTCTTTTTCTAAATACTGTTACATATTGGGGGTACAATAGGTTCAAGTTCATGACTAGCTGCACAGCTGTACCACACAAAGGTTAAGCCATCTGTTTGGTTATAACATGTTTCTCAGGGGTGTATGATACTCAACAGTAAATGCCATCAGTAAGATGCTGAGAACTCTAAGTCAGAGGTGTGTGCATGTGTGTGAGCACACGTGTGTGTGTGTGTTTTCCAATTTACTCTTGAAAATGGCTGAAAAAATATATTGAATCAATAACCCAAGAGACGCTGAAAAACTTCAGTGAATGCTACCGACTCTGCTGATAAACTGATAAACGTGAGAGTCATATGTGAAAATGAAAGTGGTTTAGAAATCTGCTAATCCCGTTAGTGTCAGAACAAATAAAATGGCATTCAGAAATCTCTATAGGTGTGCATAAACTTTATGCCTGAAACTTCACCATTTTCAACACAAATTGAAGGAAATTCGGACGGCAGAGATAAGGCTTCCTCCACAAGCAGAGAAAGAAAAGATAGTTAGTGTTATGCATCCAAAACGGGTCACTTATCAAAATATTTTTGCAAGTGTTGTAAAAAGTATTCACCTTGAGTGAAGCAATGTAGCTTATTGACTATTGCAAACGTTTTCCAAAGCTAACTATTGAAGATTCTGATTCATTAATGTTCAAGACGTTTTTGCTTAAAGTTTTAAAGCAATATCCATGTTTCCATCATTTGAAAAGAAAACTTTTATTCTTTATATTTTTATATTTCTTTGCTTAGTAATTTCTGGAGTGTAACTGAAAATAATCATGTGCTTTTTATATAAATATAATAAATGCATGCAGATTTGTAGTCTTTTTAATATTTTGTGTAGTTCAGCACATACTAGTAGTGAATGCTTCTCTTGGATACACATGATCTATGCTGTAGTTTTATTGACCATGACCTCTGCAAGGTTGAACTAAACACAAATTAAATATTAGGAAAATACGATTAAAAGTAGAGAGGAAATCAATGAAATAGGAAACAGAACAATAAATAGAAAATATGAAACAAAAGTTGGCTCATTGAGCAGACCAAGAAAATTGACAAAATTTTGCTAGACTGACCGTGAAAAAAAGACATAAATTATTAAAATCATGAATGAAAGAGGAGACATCACTACAAACCCTAGAGAAATTAAGAGGTTCATAAAGAAATAGTATAGATTCCTTTATACCTACAAATAAAACTCCTTAGATGAAAATGGAAAAACTCCCATAGAAACTCAAGTTACAAAAACTAATTTTAGAAGAAATTTTAAAATAGGGACAGATCAATAACAAGTAAAGAAATTGAATTAGTAATTTAAAATATTTCCACAATGAAAAGCCCATGTCCCAGTGGCTTCACTGATAAGTGTGGGAAATATTTAAGAAGAAACAATACCAATCATTTTCAAGCTGTTTTAAAAAATAGAGAAAGGAAGCCAGTGTGGTGGCGCGCGCCTGTAATTCTAGCACTCTGGAAGAATAAGACAGGAGGATTGCAAGTTTGAGTCCCACTTGGGCAATTTAGAGAGACCTTGTCTCAAAATAAAAAATAGTAAAAGGACTGGGAATGTAGCTCAGTGTGAAGGACCCAGGTTCAATCCCCAGTACAGAGAACAAACAAACAAATAATAAAAATAGAGAAAGGAACACTGTTCAAGTCATTCTATAAGGCCAGTATTACCTGATGTCAAAGCCAAACAAAGACTTTATAATTTTAGTTTCTTTTTTTTTTTTTTTTTGGTACCGGGGATCAAACTCAGGACCTTACCCTTGCGAAGCAGGTGGCAGAACCACTGAGCTAAATCCCCTGCCCTAAGACTTTATAATTAAACAAAAGTACAGATCAATATCCTTATGAACAAAGATGCAAAAAAAAATCCTTCACAAAATATTTAAAAGCTGAATCCAGCAACATATAAAAGCAGGAATGCAAGGTTGATTTAACATTTGAAAATCAGCACCATATACCATATCAGCAGGATAAAGAATAGAA